AGTGTTGTTTATTTTTAAATCATGCAATAATTTACCATATTTTCCGTGTCAATCCAATCACCGTCTATGATTCAAAACATAATAACTTAAATTCTAATAGTTTAGTATAAGAATAGTCGATTTTTAGGTCCTAGACTAAACAGAGAGTTGTAGTCGATTTTTACGTCCTAGACTAGACAGAGAGTTGAACTTGAATTGTAGTCAAGTCTTAGGAGATAGTTCCTCTCGGAGCCTTATAGGTTGCTATTTCCGCTTTCACGATTGATTGACGTGTCAAAATGAGTTGTAATCCAAACTTATTGTCAGATTATGGCTCTTAAGAAAAATATTCCAACGGGTAAATAGAAAGAAGATTGTAGTTGGCACCACCGAGAATAGCCCGAGGTTAGGACTAAACTATTATATTAAGTTTTTATGAACCATTCCCCAAAATGAGTAAATTTAACCCAAAAAAAAAACATTACTCTATTTATAAAATTTGGTCCATTATTTTTATAAACAAAATAAAACATTGGAAAGCAACTTTTGAACTGTTTATTATGAGAGGCATTAAAATCAAAGATGCTTATCTTTTCATTATATATATATATATGGCAATATGATCGAGATCCCAACCGGATGGCTTGTCTCAATCTTCAATGTTTAGTGCCGTGTGTCAATTACTTTTCCCTTTGAAGAATAACATCTCTCTAATTTTGTTGATAATGTTAGATGAAACTGATTAATTCAAAGATGATTAAATTTACATTTGACTCGAGCACTCGTCCAAGCACTGTCTTCAATGGTAGCCTTGTGCTTAGATCATCCTACCTTTGTTAATAGATTTTGTTCGTCATTCTTCATCTCTAATCTCAGTGTCTATAGAATTAGTATAAGTTTTTTTCTCGACCATGGTTCTGGTTTAGATATTTTGATTCTCGATCTCAATTTTTTATCAACTTATGTTTCCTCGTCATGATATTATTGCTTCTTTGTGTTGAGAAATTCAAAATTTTTTATTCTTTTGTAATTGTTCAAGTTTCACCACTATCCTTCACTATAGATCTGATCTATCTCTCGAAGGAATAGTGAGTGTTGTGGGGTGATACTATTATGACTCAATACGGTGTAAAAATATGGTAATTTTTTACATTATCCAAAATAAAGTTTAAGTTTAAATACAACAAGGGAAAGAGATTTGAAATAGCTCGTAAAATTAACATAAAATACTAGAGACTTTGGGTTATTGGTTTAGCTCTCTATGACATCTTCTCTAGATTTGTTCCCGTCCTCGACCAATTTCTATTTAACACCTAAAAAATATGTAAGAACTAAAGTGAGTATAAAAATGAGTAAGTAACTATTTGTGGACTTTTATTCGTCTCCATTGTGAATGGTAAGATATTAGTATGGTTTATGTTTTGGGGAACTTTGATTATGAGCTATGGGTCTTAAGCCTTACTATTTGATTGGTCTAGTGCATAGCTCTACGGTACTCCCTATGGAAGGCCTACTTGGCCACATGATTGATAAACAACATGAACCTGAACGAAAAACTTATGATCGAAATGTGGACCCAAATTCAGAATCGGAATTTGGTCAATAACTCCCTCGACAGACCCCAACATCCCCCATCATACAGTACATGTGTATCATTCCTGGGATTTTGCCTAGGATTCAAACTCTTGATTTGGCTCATAACTATCCTGAAATCCCTTGCATCCCTCACGATAGGTTAATAGAGTACATGATCAAGACTCAAAGCAGGATTTAGATTCCAAATTTGGCATTTGTCGGCTCTAACGATCTTTGCCTCCACTCCAACATAGTCTAGATCATGACATCCTACAAAGTTTTTGAGTAGGGTATCCCACCTAGATGCGGAATACATATAATCATGATGCGTATACCAAGATATCCTAGAGCATAAAGTGGGTTTGGATAGAGAAATACTTAAGTGTCTCAGTGTCATGGTAAGTTTAGGGCTTGAGTTGTGCATGATTCTACTTGGCTTGACTCGATTCATGACCCAAAAGATCTTAGGTTCATAAGTTCATTCGCCTAGCTTCAAGGGCCATCATAAAGACACGCTCATCAGCCTTAACATTAGTATATAGGCCATAATCATGTCAACATATCATAATTATATGTATAATGTTATATGTTAGGGTTGTATGAAGTTTCAAGAACATTCGGGTTTAAGGTCTTGTATTCACTTAAGTTAGACCTTACGAATATTTTCGTCATTTTCTACTCAAATCTTAGTTTGCACCATAAACACATTTTAATTATTTTGAAATCATGCCCAATAATTAATATCCTTATTATTGGACTCATAAAATTTCAAGTCATTTGGAGATAAGTTAGGTCATGAATTAACATTTTGATAGAGTAAGAGTATTTTCGTCATTTTACTCATCCCTGATTTAAGTCTTAAACATGCCTCGATGTCTGATACATCTTTATTGTATGATATTAAGCTATACATTAAAATTTCAAATGCTAACGAGGCTATTTAGTGGGATAATTTACTGCCTTATAATTTCTAAGCAAAATATTTGTCGAAGTACCTTAAATTTTGATTCTTGTCTTAGCTCTTCCATTTTTTACTCATTTCTTAGTTATCAGGTTTAGGTTCAATTACCACCGATTACTGGTAAATCTAAAGAAAAGTTCATAGTGACTATTTACTTGCCAGTAACATTTAGGACCCCGACTCTCACGTCTTGATATTCAAACTCCTCTTAATTTTTTTGTATCAGTCCCGATAGAGAGTTAATTTTAAGGAATAAAAAGAAATTATGTGAGAACTAGTTTGGAAGGGAGCTGAAAATCACAAAAGGTGATCTAGTTTGGGTGACGTGGTTGGTTCAATTGAGCTGACCACATCTTCTGTCTTCAACCTCAAAATCTAAGGGAAAATGTTGAAACTTTGGCTTCCTACCTCTGTAAATTGTCTTCCACGTATAGAGGACATTGCAAGGAAGGGCCAGGGACTTGTTTCGTGGGCTCTTGTGCACTGTAGACAAAGTTATACACCAGATATAAGTCATTGGAAGTTAGCTTCTTCGCCAGAGCTTAACCACATCTTTCCTCTATTGGCTGAGGCACTTCTCGAGATTATTAGCCCTCGATCCCTTGAGCAAAAACCCTTCTTTCCTTTCCCTTAACCTAATGAAATAGGCCTCAAGTAACGAAGTTGTGTGTGGTGCTCCAATTCAAGGGTCAAAGGCTATGCATTTTGGGTCAACCTTTGTGTAGAATTACTCCGGGTTGGGTAGAGCGTCTTATACCTCTTTAACTCTCATGAATTTAAAAGATTAGGATTTAAGAAACGACGTTGATTTTAGAGACTAGATTTTGAATTTTCCTAATTGGTTGAAAAACTTATCCATAAATGACTTTCTCCAAACTTATCCATAATGAATTTTCGTCTACAACTTTGCTCCTTGGACTCATAGAAGTTGAATGATATGAGTTTTTTTGGACGAATTTTTACGTGAATCTCAATCGAACTAACTTTACTTACTCTAAAGTGGCCTTTAAAGCTTGAATATTTTTAGCCCTCAAGTTCTAAAGGAAACTCGTAGTTAATCTTAATATGGTGTAGGGAGTGGTTTGAGTTTAGCTTTCAATTTAATATGACAAACCAGAGCTTGAAACTAGGAATGAATGGCTTATAACTTGAGTTTGGGTGCCCCTAAACTCATATTCTTCGTACCAAATGAAGCACTTTACGCCTTCGGCTATCAAATTCCACTATTGGATTTTTAGGTTTATAGGTCATGGAATTGTTTGATCTTACAAAATCTAAGATTTACTCGCCAAATAGCTGGTAGATCTTGTGTTGTAGGGGTATGCATCATCACACATCATACAATCTTTTCAACCAACCAATAGGTGAACTACTTGCTTGTTTGGTGTTGGCTCGAGTCCCTAAATATTATAAATTTGTTTGAGGCTGTCATTCAATATCCAATTTAACCTTTACTAACCCATGACCCTCTAATAAGATATATCAACAAACTTAGTTTAGTTAAGAGTATTGAAAACTCCCTAACTTTTAGCTAAAAAAAAAATACTTTAATTAGGCTAAATAGAATGCTGGACCTGAAATGCCTCTAGTAAAGTAAAAATATAACTTTATGAGTGCCAAAAACGTAGGAAATAAGAATTGTATACAGAGCCGAGGGTACGGGATCGAGCTAACAACTGAGTCGTGGCTGGAGTTTAGCTAACACTGGTGCGGGTCTCTAGGTTAGTGCACGAGTTTTAGGTCAAATGGGGTAACGTGTCTTGGGTCGTGACCTATCCTTATGCGCTGCAGGCAAATGGGATTCTGAGCCGTTTCTAGAATTTCAAACCCTTTCTCTCTCTTCATAGATCCGAGCAACAACAATGCACACTGTTAGACGAACACGACTCTCCACAATGGTATAATATTGTCCACTTTGAGGCAGAGTGTATTATTAGATTATAAACCCAGGCCATTCCACTTTGAGGCAGAGTGTATTCTTAGATAATAAACCCATGACTATTCCCTAAATTAACCAATGTGCGACACTTTCATCTAACACCTCCCTTCGAATAAAGTACGTCTCCCTTGGAGTCTTAAGCCATTTTTTACTGTCTTCGAGGAGGCTTGACTCATTTTTTCTTTTTGGAGTCCTTTGTTCGACATTCGAGGATTTGTCAATCTATTGGCACGGCTAAGTTTAGGGCATGACTCTAATACCATGTTAGACGAACACGACCCTTCACAATGGTATGATATTGTCCACTCTGAGCATAAGTTCTCATGACTTTGCTTTAGGCTTCCCAAAAAAACCTCATAGCAAGGGAGAGTGTATTCTTAGATTATAAACCCTTAACCATTCCCTAAATTAACCAATATTTTACACTTTCATCTAACACATATCTTACAGCTATTTTTTTTTTTTTTTTCCAACCATGCGTAATGTTTTAACAAAATTTTCCAAATTAAAAAGGAAAACGCGGTTTGATCGTTCAAGAGAGAGAGAGAGAAAAAAAAAAAAGACAAATTTTATTACGTAATAAAGCATCTCAAATTTATTTTACAAACTTACCATATTCAGCTCTCCAAACCCAAACATCAAAAACAAAGCCAAAACACACACACACACACACAAACAACTCCACACAAATTCAAGCGAAAGTTTCAAAAAAGATGGTGGCGATGGTCCTTGCCATGATCAGCCTCTTTCTCTTCTCTCTTTGCTTCCTTCTTCTCATGATGCTCGTGGAGCACAAACCCACCAGCTCCGACGGCCACCGCGGCGGCAACTTCCTCCTTGATCTTGTGCCCGTGGCTATGCTCGCTGTCTTTCTTCGCCTCGTGCTTCTCATGCTGCAACAATGAGAATAACAGAGGTTAACTGTACTTTTATTAGATTAGAAGAGAATTTGATTAACTACCAGAGCATAGGTACTAGCGGTGGTGGCACCGAGCTTGCCGAGGTGTTCAAGGTGCTTGTGGTGCTTCTGTTCTTTCTCGTAGTCGACGTTGCCGCCAGAGTACTCTTCTCCTTCTTTGTGGTGGTGAAGGTGAAGGTGGTGGTGATGATGGCCTTGCTCTTCTTCTGCCATGGCTTTGAGAGATTTGGTATGGAAAATTGTTGCTTTGTGGGGGTGGTGTGATGTTTGGGTGTGGGAGAAGTTGGATTTTATACTACTTTGCAGGGGTAATTGTGGAAATGAATTAAGTGTTCCAAAAGTCGGAAGCTTAAGACTTAAGAGACTACTAGAAAATAATTTCATAATTATTGTCCAAATTTAATTGTTAGGTTGGTGGAGCCCATCTCTAGGAGTACAGAATATTGTGTTTCTACTGGATATCCAGTACTACCCTGTAAATCAAACGTGGTCATAGTTGTAAAATATATACCATAGAAAACCGAGCTCAACTGTATGGGAAAGAAATTGTGAGGTTGCAAGTTTTAGTGTCGATAGTGTCGGATCGGGATCCATGCTTTAAGTCGGCGTTTTGACATAGACTTTAGAAAGCGTTGAGTTCTGACCTCAACTTCATCAAAATACCTTCTACCCACAAATTGATGGCCAAACCGAGCGATTGAACCAAATTCTAGGAGTCATGCTACGAGCATGCATTATGGAATTCACGGGATGTTGGGACACCAAACTAAATCTGATGGAATTCTTGAAAAACAACAGCTTCCAAGCAACTATTGAGATGACACCGTTCGAAGCGTTATATGAAAAATAGTGTAGATTCTCATTGTGCTGAGACGAAGTAGGTGAATGAGAACTGGTATACATTACAAACGAGGATAAGCGCAGACAAAGGAGCTATGCATATGTAAGGGGTAGAAACCTATAATTCAAGGTAGGGGACATGGTGTTCCCAAAAGTAGTTCCGGTTAAGATTGTCCTAAGGTTTTGACGTAAGGGCAAGCTAACCTCCCGTTTTATCGGACCCTTCAAAATCCTAGAACAAATAGGTATGGTGGCGTATAAGTTAGCTTTACCACCCTCGCTCTCGTGTGTACACGACGTATTCCACGTATCCATGCTAAGAAAATATATCACGAACTCTATGCATGTAATAGATTATAAACCTCTTGATTTTAAAGAAGACTCAAGTTAGGAAGAAAAGCAAGTTCAAATTCTTGCTTGAGAGGTGAAAGCGTTACGTAATAGGAATATTGACTTCGTTAGGGTGGCGGAACCACCAAACCTAGGAAGCTACGTGGGAGTGGGAGGATGAAATAAAAGAAAAACACCCTGCGCTAAGGCAATAATTCGGGAGTTTCGAGGGTGAAAGTTCTTTTTTAAAGGTATATAATGTAACATATGAAAATAAAAAATAAAATAAAATCTGAAAACGCTGGTGGACTGCAAAAATTCCATTGTTCCAAGACCACACGACACGCCTCTCCTATGCCCACGCTCCTCCAAACACTTTCAATCCTCTCGGCCACACTTCAGACACTCTGCAAGGAGGAAAGACAAAAAGAAAATGAGAGAGAGAGAGAGGGATAGATCAGAAAACGCTCTGGTGAGACAGAACCCATAGATTCGACAGTGAAACAACCTACCCAAGCCACGAAAGGAATCACCAAGAACTGTACACACGAAGAAAGTAAGCTTTCATGCCTTAACAATGTGATTTATCTTCAGAGAAAAGAGAATTCAAGTTTCGAATTGGTTGGCCATCCATAAAATTACATGAGAGGTGAAGAGGAAGAAGAAACAACGAAGAATCGAGGGAAAACAACGAGAAACGAATGTCAGAACGACATTACAGAAGAGAGAAATTTCATTGGAGAATCGTGTGAACCTGAGTGGAGAAGACGAAGTCTATGGGCTTCATGTTGGTAATGGGATATTGAAAGAATAAGTATAGATCAAAGCTACCGTATATGGTTAAAGAATTACACAATTTCAATATTTATAGGCTTATACACTAACCATAAACCGTAAATTATGGAAATCTAGATAAATTCAAATATACTAACAATCTTCTAAAATCTTGGTAGTTTGAATACTTTGAATCATATCTCAACTACTCTCATCATATCTTTATTTTGAATACTTTGAATCATATCTCAACACTCTCCCTTAATTCAAAGTTGCAGATGCCAAGTACAGAGCTTTTCTTTTGACAAAGCCTTCGTAAGTATGTTTGCTTTAACTTGTATAATGTTTGTCTCAGCTTGTATACCTTTGTTTCTTCGTCTTTCTTTATCAATCACTCTGGTTGTGTTACATAGACCTTTTCTTGTAAATCTCCATAAAACTTTTCGTTTGGTAAGTCAACCATATCCCAGGTTCCATTTTTCTCAATGGACTACATCTATACTACCATGGCTTTCTTCCACTTTTCTTCTTCAGTTGCTTCTTCATAATTCATAGGGTTTGAAACAATAAGAGCAAATTGACATGATGCATATATGTCAGCTAAAGATTTATACTTCCTTAAAGGTGTCTCATCCGAAAGTTCTTCAAGAGAAGAATTGTTGTTTAGTGATGCTGAAGATGATGAATTTGACACATTTTGTGTTGTAATGAAGGCACTAGGAGATGCACTGGAATTGACCCTTGTCTCTTCATTTGGAGAAACTTCAACTGTAATCTTTTGCTGCTACTGTTCTTTGCTCCAATCCCAACTCACGTTTTCATTAAATATTACATCCCTTCTAACTAAAATCTTTTCACTAAGGGGTTGTATAATTTATATGTCTTTGATTGGGTACAATAGCCAATGAAAATGTATTTTTTCAGTTTTTTCATCAAGCTTTCGATGAGTTTGAGGATGTTTCAAAGCATAAGCAACACAACCAAAGACTCGTAAATGACTTACAGATGACTTCCTTCCATGCCATGCTTCATAAGGAGTTCGATTCATAACAGTCTTTGTTCGTGAGAGATTTAATAGATAAATAGATGTTGCTACAGCTTCTGCCCAAAATTGGTTTGGAAGTCTCCTTGCTTGTAACATACTTCTTGCCATCTCCACAATAGTTCGATTTTTTCGTTCAGCGATTCCATTTTGTTCTGGAGTGTAGGGAGCTATTAACTCCCTTTTGATGCCCTCTTCTTCACAAAACAGATTGAACTCTTTAGATATGAACTCGTCACCTCTGTCTGTGCGAAGAACTTTAATGTGACAATCACTTTGGTTCTCCACCCTAGCTTTAAAAATCTAGAACTTTTGAAAAGTTTCTAACTTATGTTGTAGGAAGTAAACCCAGCTCATGCGACTATAGTCATCAATGAATAGTAAAAAGTATATACTCCCACCCAAGGACGTCGTTTGCATTGGCCCACATAAATCAGTATGAATTAGTTTTAGATAATGTGAAACTCTTTTAGTTTTTCCAAAAGGAAAGAACTTCCTAGTCTCCTTCCCATAAATGCATCATTCACATCAATGCATCCTTCACATAAATTAGTTGTATCAATTCTTGGTTATCCAAAAACCATACATTTCTCCCTGAGTATTTTCAGGCCCTTCATATGAAGATGTCCATATCTGAGATGCCATAATGTCTCCTCACTTGTAGTGTCTTCTCTTCATTCCTTTTTGATGATCTATTGATTTTTGCCTCATGAGCTTGAAGCGAGCCCATCAGTTCATCAACGGAGAGTATTGATAGATCCTTAGCTTCTTCTATGGCAGCCACCACATGGTTAAACTTTGGAGTTAAGCTTCTCAACACCTTTGCAACAATTGTTTATCTGAAATTTTCTCTCCATAGGCACGCATCTGACTGACTATTGTCATTGCTCTTGACAAAAAGTCAGCAATTGATTCATCATTCGTCATGAGCAGAGTTTCAAAATCACGTTTAGAGATTGCAATTTCATTGTTATGACCTTTGAATCTCTTGAATACTCCTTCTGTAGAATTGATCATGCTTGCTTTGATATGGTTGCTATTGCCATTCGTGAAAAAATAGTCTCATGAACTGCTTGCTGAATAATAAATAAAGTCTTGGCATCGTTTTTCTTGGTTTCTCTTAGTCTCTTCTTTTCTTCTATTGTGGGTTCTAATACATCAATAAATCCGTGCTCCACCAAGTCCCATAGCTCCTGCGATTCGAGCAAGGTCTTCATCTTAATGCTCCACCACTCATATTTCTCACCATTAAAGATTAGTAATAGCGGTGTAGAGGAAGAAAAACAAGCTACTGCCATTTTTGTTTTGTGAAAAAAAGTAATAACTCACCCTCGTGTTGACAGGAACTTGGCTTTGATACCAAATTTGTTGGGGAAAGGGATATTGAAATAGATTGAAATAGATTGAAATAGATCAAATCTACAATTCTTTATTATTGTTTTTTGACTCAATGCTTAAAGTTACGCATTCCAATATTTATAGTCTTATACACTAACCATAAATAGTAAATTATAGAAATCTAGATAAATTCAAATCTACTAACAATCTCCTAAAATCTTGTAGTCTGAATACTTTGAATCATATCTCAACTACTTTAAATCATAATACTTTGAATCATATCTCACACTTAAGGTCAGATCCGAATCAGGTATCCAAATGTGCCTACAGCCATACCACATTACCGAGGCCTAACCCATTTCGTCCCAAAACCAAGACCAGCCTGCCACCCTGCAGCTGCAACCAGCGTACGCGCACGCCTCTATCCACGGCCCACGTTTCGGCCCAGTACACTAATGCCTTGGGCCAAAACCTAAACTGGTCTGCAGCAGCCCATAACTCGTGAACCACAACCCATGAACCAAGTGCCCTCACGCGACCCACGCCTTGACCTGAAAACAACCTACACACATGGCGGTTCCACAACTTAGTTTCTCGGATATTCGGCTTGGTATTCATATTTTAGCCTTATTTCCACCGTTTAGATCCTC